CAAGCCTCTTGAGACCTAGGCTGGAGCCCCGGTCCCACCACTGATGCCCTGACTATGTCATCCTCCTCTTGAAGAGCATTGGTTTCCCCACCTGGACAATGGGGACGCTGCACACAGACTATGACATGAGACAAAAATGCTAGTAAATGCTCATGGCCATCCTCTGACTCTCTCAAGCCAGGCCATCCTTGGACTTCCGTCCCCTGGAGCCCCACGCCGGGTTCCTGGGGAGGGGCTGGAGCCGTGGGTACCACTGAGGTACGGACACGGCAGGACAGCTGGGACCTGTGACCAGTGCCCCAATGCCTACCACTCCTCAAAAGGTCTGAGGCCGGAGACAACATGGCAGAGGCACTGCAGTCCCTGGTGAGTGCCTGCCCTGCCCCGGGGCCCCGAGAATGACCCAGGGGATAGCCAGCACCATGAGCCACAGAGCCAGCTGGAGCTGGAATCTGGAAGAGTGCCAGATGTGGTTCTGCCACTGACGCTGAGGGTGACTGGCCAGGCCTGTTTTCTCTTCTGTAAAACGGGGGCTCTGAAGAAAGAGATGGCAAGAAGAAAGCACCACCCAAGAGTAGGGGACTGCGACTCGGGGCCATCTTCTCTGCGAGGAGCCCCTTTGCATGCTGACAGAGCCTGGCTAATTACAAATCACTAATCCTGCCTGCCTTCCTCCCTCCCACCTGACTCAGAAGGTCCCCAAGTTGTGGTCTCCCCTCTGAGTCCAGGCCTGCCCAGTCAACTTAATTTGATGGAGTGAGGATCAGGCCACCTCAGCCTTCAGGCCCTCGAATGATGGTCCTCCTTGCCTGAGTCAGAGCTCAGCTTCCCAGGGCTGGCCAAGGGAGCCAGGCAGCCTCCCAAGCTCTGCTGGGCCAGAAGGCCCATTCCTCCTAGGACCGGGCGCTGCCCCCTCCCCGCCAACCACACAGACCACAAAAGTTGCTAGGAACGAACTCCAGCCCCAGAAGCCCACTCTCAGGCCCGCTGAGGCAAACCTCCATTCTCACACAGACATGTGGCTCTGTTCACACATCCACACTGGTCAGGCAGCCTGGGCTCACCCGCACCTGTGGACGGCACAGGGACACACAAAACCTTCACAAGACTGTCAAGACCTGGGGGCCTTTTAAAGCAGGACACCTTGGTGGCTCCTTGAGTGTCTAACAGCCCTGTCTGCGGAAAGCCTTGTGACACCCCTCCTGCTGTTCTCAAGCCTCCCGTGGACAGACCAGGGCTGCAAAGGGGGGTCTTCAGTGCTGCAGCCGATTGCGCTGGGGAGAGGGCTTGGGTCAACAGCTCCTGGAAGAACGTCCTGAGGGTTGGAAGGGATGTGCCTCAACGGAGCCGTCCCTGCGTCTAGTGATGTTCAGAAGAACACTGTCAAATGTTCTACGCCAAAAACATTCTCTGGTCAAATACTGATGGAAGTGCGGGGCTAAAGAAAGGTAAATAAGTTTCCATGTTGCAGGGCTTCTCAGAGCCTTCACAATGCTGGGGGGGGGGGGTAGCATTGTGTGTCTTTGACCCCAAAGCCCATCCCCCCGCCTCCACAAACCATCATTTGACTGTAGGGCCATGTCTGTCTATCCCTGGAGGAAGAGGGAAAGATAACGGCCCCCCTCAGACTCTGACCTGGAATGGGACAGCCATAGCTCGCTCCCCTTAAGGGAGTACAGGTCCAGGCGTCCCTCTGAGGGGCCCAAGAGCTAATGCTCAACAATGAGGGGTACATCTCCTTTTCTGGAGGTAGAGTCCCACAGCCCCCACGCTGCTGCGAATTTAAATTCCAAGCTAAACCTGGCAGGGAAGACCTCCCCCCAGAAGCCACCCAACCCCCATTCCCTCTAAGAACGGCCTTCCTTGGGTACCTAAGGGGAGAGAGGAGGGGCTCAGCCAAGAGCCCCAGGAGTCTCTCTACAAAGACATATAGTTGTTGCCACAGATCAGGGGTTGAAACTGAAGCTCACAGGGCCCATATTCTAGACCGAGGCCTTTTTTAAAAACCACACCAAGTGTCTGTGCCTGCTTTGGCCTGGCACCCTTACCACAAGCTGAGAAGCTGAAGAGCCCCCCCTCAGCATCCAAGACACCTCCTGGTGCTTGCTCCTGCCCTCGTACACGGACTCTGCCGTCTCTCTCAGCTCCCGGGGCCAGTGTTCCACTCAGAACCCTTGGCTTATCTTCAGCTTCCAGAGCTGAGGTTCCAGGGGCACAATGGGCTTCTGTGCCCCCATGTCCTCAACCCCCCCGCCCAAATCCCAGCTGCATTCATGGTGTTTTGCTATTGTGGTGGGAGCAGCCTGGGGGTGGTGCAGGAGGGGGTGGGCTCTTGGCACAGGGACCGGTGCAGACAGGCCATGGTCAGCGGTCAGCATGCAAGTCACATCCGCAGGCACTGCCACCAGGCCTGCCAGGCCTTGCACAGAATGGCGATGCTCCTGAGTCCCTGGGTCCCTTCGCAGAGTCCCCTCCGGCCCCCACATGATTTGCTTCTTCTCCAACCAGCCCCTTGGTGGCATTCAGGTGGGGGGTAGTTTTTCATGCCTTCTCAGCCAGTTGCTATTGTGGAGCCATATTAGGTCACTGGCTAAGCCCTGGACGCAGGAAAGCCCAGGAGCACAGCTGGGGCTGCAAGAGGGTTTAGGAGGCGAAGCGGGTGAGGGGTGAGAGCAAGTGAGTCGAAAGCCAAGAAAGCCTTCCGAAAGTCCGCCGGCACAGCCCTCCAGCCCCTCCAAGGAAGCCACTGGCCTGCAAGCGTAGGAGAAGCCCCTCTTACCTCCCCCAACTCAGCCTGTCTGCTCGCGTACGTATCTCTCAAATCCCACACATACCACCCTAAGGGGCAGCAGAGACTAAATTCAACAGATGCGTAAACTGAGGTCGAGACAGAGACAGGGTGTTCCCCCAAAGTCAAGTCATAAGAGACTTTTTTCTACCATTGTTCTGCATAACCTTTACCATCTCCTTTTACACTAGCCCCAGAGAAGGAATGTACCTCTTCACAGGGAAACTGGGGTGAGCAGCAGTGAAGTGACCAGAGACAAGTTTCGCTGAGGTCCAGCTGGGATCCTGGATGTTAGACATTTCCAAGAGAAGGCACCACATCCTACCCCTACAGAAGACCTTGGATGGCCCCAAACTCCCAAGCCTCTCAGCAGGGACCCACATTTGGGGAAGAAGGCCACCATCGGGTAGGAGCTGGGGGAGGCTAGTAGAGGCTGATGATTATGGACCCCCCACTTGACCTGTGAGGGGTGAGAGTTCACGGTCACGTGGGTCATGGTCACTGTCCTCCCTTGGGATTCCCACAGCACCTGTGCGAAATTACCTACCACTCACATTGTATCATCTTATGTATCTTCTCATCCGGGGCCCCCACTGGCCTGTCCCTGCTTCCCCAAGGGCCCACACGGAACTCAAGAAATGTTTGGTAGGATAACAACTAAAAAGACCCAGGCAGGGAGGAAACACCCAGAACCTGTACCAAAGTCACTGGTCACTGCAATCAATTCCCTGAAGAGGTGGCAAAGTCTCTTATAAGAGAGAAGGATTCCCAGCCAAGAATAATTCCTCCCGTGGAGAGAGTGCTTTACAGTTTACAAAGAGCTTTGGTAGATAGATGCTTTCGCCTGGCACCAAGGGGTGGCTCTCCAGACCCATCTCCCTGCACTATGCCCAACCGGCCCAACACAGGTCAACCAATCCTTCTCTCAGCTCGCCTGGTACTGGCCCACCTCTAGACCTCAGGCCAGCGTTTTATATGTCCATGTCCCCTCCTCGTCAGTACTGGCAGAGTTGAACACATTATGGGACCAGAAAGGGAAACCCTCTCCCTTCCCCCTCTCATCCCTAGCACACTCACATATTCACAGGCCCTTCTCCCTGACCCATTCAGGACTCTGACTCTCCTAAAACTAAATGCCGTGCTCAGGTCCAGAAGGAAAAGGAACCCTCAAGTGTGTCCTCTCCTCCACTCCTTCCCCCTGCGCTTTTGCAGGGAGAGCTGCCAGAAGATGGATGAGTGAAGGCCACAGAAGGGTATCTGCAATTCCCAAAAGTGGCAGGAGTAAATGGGAGGGGAGGGGGAGGAGGAGTCCAGCTCAAAGGAGAGAGGAGTGGTATCTAGGAAAGCTCTGGAGAAGACCTCTGAAAAGGGGCTGGGAGGTCCTGGCAATCTGTGTATTTATCTGGCTGGGGAAGACTCGCTGCCCCTTCCACTTTGTAACCGAATCCACCCAACAGGCAGACTTTGCAAAGGAGCCAGCCCAGGTTTCTGGAGAAGGCACTGGGCAGCTGAAACCTCTCCCCCTGGCTAGCCCCCCTCCCAAGAGCTCAAGAGGATTTCCCTTTCATTTCCTTCCAGGCTGGGAGGGCGGGGGACAGCGCAGTCTGTGGGGTCAAGCCCTCACAAACCACTTCCTATGTGGCTGGGGGAGGGCAAGCAGCTGGAGGATGTATCTGGGGGTCCCTGTGTAAGAAGAGCAGGAAAAACCCTGCTCTCCAGGGTGCCCTTCGGGTCGGCCACCACCGAGGTCGGAGGAGAAAAGATTTTAGGCCCCTGCGGAGGAGCTCTGAGCAGAATCTGCACTCCCGGTCCCAGCGAGCGGCGGCCAAGAGGGGGATGGGGTTGGGCGTGGGAAGGACACTTGGAAGGGGCTCTCCGCCCTGGCCGCGCCCGGGCCGTCTGGAGAGAATCCGGAGCCCCCCGCCCAGCCGGGGCTCACCCCAGTCCCCTTAGAACAGGGCGCCCCGGGCTGGGATAAGGAGCAAGAGTGCCCCGCCCGCGCCCGAGCTGCTCCGAGCCGGGCTCAGCCGGGAGGTGACGCGCTCTCGGAGCCCCGGGGACATCGGGCGGCGAGTTTGGCAGAGCAAAGCGAAGCCAAGCCAAGCAGGGCCGGGCAATACGGAGCCGGGCCGGGCCTGGCCAGGAAGAGCGGGGCCGATTGGAAAAGGCCCCGCGCGGTCGACGGAGGGCGGGGGCGCGCGGGGGCACCCACCTCTCCGCGCTGCAGCTGGAAGAAGCTGTTGAGATAGCTGGAGTGAAGGGGCGAGCCCAGCTGCTCCGGGCGGCCCTTCCCGAAGGCCAGCTCTGGGGGCGCGGCGCCGGCGGGCGGTTCGGGCCGAAAGGCATCGAAGGCGCTCGCCTGGTGCGTGTCCTGAAGCGACAGGTAGACCCAGTTGAGCAGCTGGGCGGGCTGGTACACCGAAGCGGCGCTAGTGTCGATGGCCGACAGCAGGCTCATTTTGCGGCGGCGGTGCCGGCCCCTCCCCGGCCGCCCGCTTGCGCCCCCCCCCCCGCAGCGGAGGGGCGGGCACCGGGGAGCCTGCGCCCGCTGCCCACCGCCCGAGCCCCGACGGCGATCGCCCAGTGCCGTGCGCCCTGCGCTCTGCCCGCAGCCACCGCCGCCGCCGCCGCCGCCTCCCCCCGACTGCAGCCGCAGCGCGCGCGGGCGGAGGAAGGAGGCAGCGAAAGTTGGGCAGGAAACTTTTGGGCCCGCCCCCTCCGCGCCGCCCGCCCCGCCCCGCCCCGCGATCCGCTATCTGCCTCAGTGCTGACCCCTTCGGCTCCGTGCCCGGGGGCGGGGCCCACGGAGGCCCCGCCCCTTATGTACCGTCCTTGCCTTCCATTGGCTGTCTCATTGAATATGGAGCAGTAGTGGGGCGGGGCCAGCGGGGAAATTAGGGCTCATCTGTGTTTGCAGCGCTCTGCTGGCCCGCCCATGGGCGGGCCCCTCCCAGGCCCCACCCCGCCCCCCCGCCCGCCCTGCTCCCGGAGCCTGCCGGAGCTCAGGACTGCCCCGGCCTAATCAATCTGTTCTCGCTATGCTTGGCGCTCTTCTGTCTCTCGTTCTTCTAAATCCTCTGCAATTATTTCATTTTCACTCGTTTTTCTTGCCCTGTTTTTCTTCTTTTCTCATTTTCTCTCCGCTCTCTTTCAGATTAGTATCTCCTGTGTCTCTGTCTCTGTCTCTGTCCGGCTCGTTGTCTTTTTCTGTGGTTCTGTCTCTCTTAAGTGCGTGTGTGTGTGTGTGTGTGTCGTCTTTTCTATTTCCGTCTAGTCTGATGTGTTTCTCTGTCTCTCCCTCTCCCCTCCCAGACACACGCGGGCGCGCGCGCATAGACACACACACACACACACACACACACACACGCCTCCCTCCTTCCCTCCTCTCGCTATCACCGTAGGACCCTCCCCCTCCCACTTAATTCCTTCCATCTGCGGAATCGCTTTGCGGGCCGGCTCCGCCAAGGGGGGCCCGGGTTCCTGCCCCAGGAAGGACTCCCCGCCTCCTTCCCTCGCCTTCCCCCCCTCCCCCTCTCCCTTCTCCTATTTCGGTTCTGCGCCGGCCTTTTCCTCCGCCCAGACCCCCGGCCCCAGCCCAACCCGGTGCCTCCGCGGGCCGCCAGGACCCCAGATGGGACTGCGGGAGCTCGGGAAGACGACTGTCACCCATCTTCCAGAACGACCCAGCTACTCCAAGTATGCCTGGGGGGAACCTCCGCCCCCTTCCCCTCCTCCGCCTAACACACCCCGAAGCCCAGGGCCTTCACCCTCTCAGTCTGGGGCAGTCATCCGGCGCCTGCGCTACGCCATCGCCAGGGAACTGGAGGCAAGGCGTCTGGAGGGGACCTAGTCACCTCTCTCACCTCACCCCTGGCTCTGGAGCCATTCCGCCAGGCGTTCAAGTGCCAGGTTGGCTACCTTCCAGCTCAGTGACCTCCCCATGGCGCCTAACCTCTGCGAACAAGCCTATTTTCTCCTCTGTAAAATGGGGATGGTCAGGGTCCTTCCTCTGGGGATGTTTATGAGCTGACCAGTTTGAGTTTGGTAAGCACAAGGCATTCCATAAAAGTCAGCTCTCCACCACCCCCTCCGCGAGGATTTCTCCCACTACCTGCACAGATAGCATCTGTGGGTGCTTGGACCTGAATGGGCTTCAGGAATGTGTCCCCCTTGCCCACCATGTCACCAAGAACCCCTTCGATGTTTTTGTCTCAGATCATTCGATGATGTCAAAGATTCTGTCTATCAAACGATCTGTGATTATTAATACAAATGATAGTGCTTATATCAGGTATATTTTAATATATGTTTATTTTTCAGAGACCTATCCCTTTACATTTTAAATCAGTGTTCAATCTATTTGTTTAAACAGAAGGTACACATTTGTTAGAAATACATGTGATAACTCCTGGAAATATTTGGAGTCATCTCTGGAACTCTACTACTATCTTTAAGGTTCCAAGATGGGAGGAGGAGGAATAGGATTTAAACCACAGACTTAGACTTTCCCTGGACATTTTAGAGAAAACCGTTGTTCAGAGAGGGCACATCTTCCAGTTGCACAAGCAGGCAGTCGGGGAGCACAGAGGAGACCCTGAGACACCCAGGCCCAGCCCAGAGCTCTCTGTCTCTGCCCCCCATTCTCCTTCTGGGTCAAGGGAGTCCTGTTACATAGCAGTGCTCGCATTTTTCCCCATTATGGGTGGCACATTCACCCTGCTTCATGGGCCAGCAGGTACCACCAGGTATAAGGCAATAAACAGGAAGCAGTGAACCTATGGAGGAGGGCTAGCTACTCAAAACCTTTCTGTCATGGTTCTCAGCCTGAAACTCTGAGTCTGTCACCTGCCCAGAGAGACATCTGCTCTGGGGTTCCCTGTCCTTCAATGATTGGCTGCTGTGAGGGTTCTTGTCATACCTGGCAACCCCGCTGGTGGCCTCTGCCCATTTTTCCCCCTCCCCACACCCACCCCTGCCCCATAGTTCCCACACAGGCCCTGCTGCATAGAAAGTAGATGATCCCCAAGTGTTTGCTAGGTGGAGGGCTGAATGGAGGGTGGGAGGGGTGGCCCGATTTTGCTCCCCTTTGAAGCCTGAATGGCTCCCTTGGTTTTGCACTTTGCTTCCTCCTCTTGCCCACAGCACACCTGCCCAACACGTGAGCTCCGTACCCAATGAGTAATCAATAAATGTGAACAACTGACAGGCAGTTTGCCTGAGTAGCAGCTGGTTGCCCTGAGGTCAGCCCCTCAGCCAGTCCCCAAAGAGTCCCTGAAACAGCACCTCCTGTGGGATGGGAGGTGATGGGTGCGGAGGGCCAGATGGGTATCAGGGGCCTGGGTACCAGGCTCAAAAGACCCACCCAGGCCCAAACTCTGTGCCTCCCCTCGCCCCCTCACGTACACATCAAGAAGCCTTGCATTTAAATGTCAGAGGTCCTAGCCTAAGCCTTCGCTTCAGAGAGCAGGAGGCCCCGTGGCCCAGAGAAGGAAAGCGACTTGCCCAAGCTCACCCAGGAAGCCTGATGGCTAAGCCACCTTTTCCTAATCCACTCCACATCCTCATTCCCCTCTCATTGGTCCTCATCTGGCAGTCTACTGGTGTGGCAACTCTGGCCCCAGAAACGGAGGTAGGAGGGAATCCCAGGCGAGGCTTACTTAGGTCCCTGTCCCCTTCCCTTTCTGGTACTCGGTCTACCTCATGGTCTCCAGAATGGGACAATGGAGAAAAGATTGGATTTGGAGAACAGAGACCTGAACAAGTGGCCTTGGGCAAGTCTCTGCCATCTCTTTTTAAACCTCCATTTTCTCAATTACTGACTGAGGTGGTCAAGTGAGGATGTGAACAAGAGGACGGTGCTTTGCTAACTCTGAATAAGCCACCATTCAAAAGGGAAGCATGGTATTAATAATTGAAACAAGAGAAATACTCAATTTATCTGGAGTGGTGGTTGAGAGGAAAAGGATGCGTGGAGGAGAGTGTTTGTCCCTAAAGTTCCCCAGACAATAGTCTGATAGATGTTTGGGGGAGTTTCAAACCAAGAGCTTTGAGCTCAGAGAAGCAAGAGGAGCAAGCAGAGGTCTCCGTGGGGGAATCAGCCTCAGTTTGGGCTTGAAAGGCAACCAGACATTTGCAGAGGAAGAAGAGGGATCTTCATGACCATGTGCTGGTTGATGCTGCTTATTTCCCTAAAGCATATAGCATGGTGACTTACAACCCTTAGCCCTCTTGAACCTGCCTACACTCCATGCCTCAGCAATAAACAGCAAAGTGCACCCTGGGAAGGCTGAGTGTTGTCTCTCCTCTGGGCCAGGGCTAGGCATTGGGTTCCTTTGGACTGTGTGTTGACACAGAAGGTGTCGGTTTACAGCAGTGATAGCAAAATGGCAAAGACTCTCTCCGCATGCGCCACTGCCCCATCCCCCCACCCAGGACAGAAATCACTGAGCGCAGAACTCTTCCCCAGACATGACTGCAGATTCCTTCTCAACACAACACTCTGTGTCACCACGAAGGGTGGAGTTGACCCAGAAGATGAAGACTATTTACTGTCTCCTCTTCCCATGGACACAGAGTCCTTGTTGCCAGGGCATATAACTCGGTGACGGCTAGCTCGATTTCAGCATCTTCATGCAAGACTCTGACCGTCAAACCCTGGGGGCAGCCTGACCACTCCGGGCCCCACCCACAGACTCATGACTCTTGATAAAAGAGCCACAAAAGGTGAGGGGATCCATGAACCTTAAACTCAGCCACCCATTCTGTGTCGGTTCCGAGTTGTGGAAAGTGCCTGGGCCTTTGGAGACGGTCCATTTCCCAGCTGTGACTTTGGCGAATTGATTATCCTCTGCTTGACAGTTTGCTCATGTACAAAATCTTCTCCCTTACTTGAACCCCAGGACATAGGAAGGCATTGGATGCTCTGATGGCCTTGGCCTCTGGCAGGCCCTCAGAGGGTGCTTGCTGGGTTTCAAGGCTGGACATGTGCATGAGCATGAGGGGCACCAGCCTGGATGTCAGAAGCCTCGGGTTCTCTCACCTACCGTTGTGCATGGCCCGGGGCAAGCTGGCCAAAGGCCCTGGACATCTGATCCCCAGAAGTCATCGGAGCAGGCCTATAGGCCCCTGCTCCCTGAGGAATAGCCCTCAGAAAAGTGCTGGGGCAGAGATGGGTCCTTCTTCACACAGGAGCTAGAGGAAGCCATGTTTCTCCTCCACTCCTTTCAATTTCCCATCACCTTTTCCTTAAAAACAAAAAACAAAAAACAAGCTATATACATTTTATCGATAGCCCCTTAGCAAACCTCAATCTGTGCAGATATCCTGGGCCCCCAGGGCTGGAAAGAAGATGCCTGGTCACTCAGGACCTGTGATCAAAACGTGGTCCTGTCCTCTTGTAGAGCACTTGGGGGAGTGGCTCTGGAATTTCCATGTATTTAGGCTTATGAAGCATCTGTTTGGAAAAAGGGGATTAAAACACCCTAAAGTTGAGTGCATAGCACTCTCTACACTGTTTCGGGAAAAGTCTTGCCCATATCAAAGAATGGAGAAAGTTGGCTGATGGAGACTTTGGGAGGGGCTCAACCTGGCCCTCGAGGCACCCCTTGACCTTTCTTGCTTACTTAGACAATCTTTCCTTGGCCACCCATGAATAAAGTCCAAACACCTACAGAGCATGATGTTCAAGGCCCTGTGGGCCTCTGGCTATTGACCTCCTTTGTACCCTAATTGCCAGCTCAATCTACCTTCCAGCTTCTAAACCACATGTGTTTCCCCCACCCCCACCCCCAGCAAAATGAAACAACTGGCCTTTCCCACTCATGCAAGGCCTTCTTTGCCTCAGGCCTTAGCATATGCTGTTCCCCTGGCAGGAATAGCCTCCTCTGTTAGCCTCTTGGCAGTCTGCTCTCACCCTTCAAAACCTAGCTGAAAAAATGACTACCTCAAAGAAGAATTTTGTAATCATAACCCCCGTTCTTACCCTCACACCCGCCCATTCGATATTCTTTTATTCTTGATTAGAGGGTGTTTGCATGGCATTATGATGTTCATAGAATGGTCAGTCCTCCCTTCCCACCCCCTTCCACCCAGCAACACTACTGGACTATGACTCCTTTGGCTGACTCAGCACTGGAGCAGAACCTGCCCTCTGTTTACTTAAGGAGTGAGTGAATAAACTCAGCAAAGCTTTGTGGTTTGTGGACTCAGACAGGAGACCGTCAACTCTGATCTGGAACAACTCAGAGACTCGAGGATTGCAGAAACACAGGGGGGCTCTGGCAAGAAGGGTCACTGTTCACTAAGCGTCCATGTCCTCTCTCCACTTCCCAGCCTCCCTTGCAGCTGGAGACAGCATGGGACTTGTTCTCGACAACGGGACAGCGAGTAGAAGGAGGGTGTCTCTAACGAGGCGGCAAGACGAGGTGTGTCTTCCCCGTGGTTTCTCTCTCCCGTTCTTGAGATGGGAAGTGAACGACTCCACGACAGAAGGGGGCAGATCACTGCAGGAGATCTGAGGCAGAGAACCTCCCAGACTGTGATGTGCACTACGGACAAACTTTCTGCTCTTCGGCCACTGAGATTGGGGCTTATTTGCTGCAGAAGCAGTCTGCTGTAGCTCAGCTAATGGAGGGGCTCGAAGATGATCTGGTTCAAAAACCTCTTTTTACCCATTTGAAAACTAGTAGTGAGAAGAGGAAAATCATGTGGCTTCTGGCTCTGTGATTTTGAGTTGGCCCCTGAAACATTAGGGGGTGACAGCAATCACATCTTCTGATATCCAATGCCAACCTTGTCCCTCTCCCTCAGCCCAGCTGCATGCAAGGGCATTAACCATAACCCTAGCTTTGTAACATTATTTTGCAATTAATTATTTATAAATGTAATCAGCCCCTGCGAACAAACCAGCCAACATAAAAACTAGGACCTTGGCAATGACTTGTATATACCTATGAGGTCTACCCCTAGCCAATCCCTCAGGCTCCCCAACCCGACATAATCACCGTCTGGAACCATTTCCTTGCTTTTCTTTTTTTTTAAGATTTTATTTATTTGACAGAGAGAGATACAGCAAGAGAAGGAACACAAGCAGGGGGAGTGGGAGAGGGAGAAGCAGGCTTCCCGCGGAGTGGAGAGCCCGATGTGGGGCTCGATCCCAGGACCCTGGGACCATGACCTGAGCCGAAGGCAGACGCTTAACGACTGAGCCATCCAGGCGCCCTTCCTTGCTTTTCTTATTTAGAAAGTCCTGCCTCATATATGTGTATTCTAAAAATATATCTTTGCTTTGTTCTTTTACATGATTATAAGGGGGTCGTGCTGTTTGAAATCTTTGAGACTTACTTCTTCCACTTCTCATAGTACTGCTAAAGTTTAATCATATTAAAGTCGTGTCACTGTAATTCATTCATTTGGATGCTATATCCTAGGCCATAGTGCAACTGAGCTCACCCTCCACTCAGCCACTCTCCGGCTGATGGCTCTGGACACAGTGCACCTAGGACTTTTCCTGACATACACTCATTCATAAGAGCATCTCTTGAGTATATGCATTTGCTGCATTGTAGAATATGTAGAGGTTCACCTTTTCAAGATACTGCTAAATGTTTCCAGCATAAGAGGTCCCGTGGGTCGACACCCTCCCCAACACTTGATTTCAGACTTTTTAATGTTGCCACAGTGTGTGTGCAGTTAGTCCTCTTGACACTGCGGCAGGCTCCCTGATTTCCCTGGACCTCAGTTTCCAAATCTGCTGCAGGGCGGTGATACTCAGAGGGCCTCCAAAGCTCCCAAAGTGGAGATGACGTGGAGACTGGGTGGTGTCTGTGTGGGAGACATGAAGCCAAGGAGCAGAAAGGCAGCCTTGCTTCTGCCGTGGCCCTCACAGCAGGCCGCTACTCCCGTCTGAAGCCTGGGGACCTGGCAGGAAGCAGAGAAGGAGCACCTGACCCGCAGAGCTGGGTGCTCAGCTGGAATACGGGAAGCAGAAGCAGGCAGAACATGCACGCTCAGGCTGGGAAAAGATTCAGACCCTCCCGAGAGGCCAGCTCCTCACAAACCCAGGCTTGGGGGGTTTTCCTGTTGGCTCCTGAAGTGATATCAAGTCAAGGATATTGTTTACCCTGGTCTCTGCCATAGATAAGACAGAGAAAAACAGCTCCAACAAAAACATTGATGCCACCAGCCCTTCCTGCTCCTTGCCTTCCTGGTTAGAGTCCTTGTCTCCTGTGCTCCTTCCTCCCTCTCCTTCCAGAGACTGTGATTCAGGCCCTGACGCCGTGGGGGATGGAGGAGTGGAGGGTGAGCTCAGTTCCCACGGTCATGACCTCCGTGGGCTCCAAGCTCCGTCTAACCCTGGACCTTCCGCGTGTCGGAGCTCAAGGCTCCAGGGCAGTGGTGAGCTAGAGCGGGCTCACCCCTCTACAGTTACCCTCTGTAACTCACTGGAGCAGACTGTTCCGTGTGTACGGATTTTGTAGGCCAGTTGTTAAACACCGCCATTATTAAACATTAAATTATATAAGATTACAATTAAATTACTTTGAACACAAAGGTAGTAAATACTCAAAACTCATCAAGTCCTAATGATTTTATTATGCCTTACTGTTACCTGTGCTCTTGCTAACAAGAGCATTCTATTTTCATGGTAGAAATGCTAATGGCGTGTTCCTGTGCATCTCTTCCCAGTATACATTGGTCACCTGAATCCGACCTTGAAACTGGCGGGAGTATTTATACCATGGAAATCAGTGAATGCTACAAATCAAGGATCTTTTTTTTTTTTTTTTTTTGGAGAGCTAGTTGTTAAACATTAACCACTGCTCCTAGGCACTTCCTCCAAATCCCCCCTCTGAGGTCCAGAGAGGGCTTGAGATTTGCCCGAGGCCACACAGTGAGTCATGGGTGGTACAGAGAGGAGAGTCCAGGCCTTCTGAGGCTTCCACCACAACACACACCACACTCGTCCCGTGGGTCTGTGTTACTGTAAACTCTCTAGATATGCAGAACGCTATCTCATTTTTTCTCCATTTTTAAAGGAAATTCTTTTACAATGGCTGTGTATTATCATTGTCAAAAATGTAAGCCACCTGTGATCCCACCAGCCAATGATAACCAGTGTTAACGTTGTGATATACATCATTCTAGTCTTTTCTCTTTCTCTTTTAACATTAAAGCAGATCAAAAACTTCGTGTACCGTTTACGGTCTGAATCCTGTTTTTGTTTTTCAGCTCAGCAAGATAATATGCCATCTTTCCAAGTCAAGAGTTATCCTTCTCCAAAAGATTGAGTACCTCTTTCCGTGACAAGAGCTACCTTTTGCAGTCAGACAGAACTGGTTTAAATCTCTGCTCAGGTAGGTATTTGCTATGTGACTAAGGACCAGGAAAGTAACCTCTCTGTGCCTCTTCTATAAGATGAAGACAGTAATAACCCCTGTTTCATTGCATTATCCTGAGAATTAAAAGAAGATGCATAATGCTTTTAACACTGCTGGGCAGAGAGGAAGCTCTGAGTGGCTATTAACTAAGTTTTTTGTTTTGCCTTAATGTTTCACCATGGGTTGCTTTCTACCTGTTGTGTGCTTTCTCAGGAGCTGATGCTAAGCCTCAAGCAGGAACAATTAAGAGGAGTGAAATTGCGCTGAAATTGACATTGCCCAAACAGAACTCTTGATTACCTGCAAATCTGCTCCCTCCCCATGGTAACCCATGTCAGTAATCAACACTGCTGTTCCCCAGCAACCCAAGCCAAAAACTAAGTCATTACTAATTCCTCCCTCTCTCTCCCTTTACATCTAATTCATTAATAAGTCCTGTCCATGCTGCTTCTAAAATACATCCCATGTCTGCCCATCTGCCTCTGTCTTCACCGCCAACATCCCAGTCCAATCCTCTATCCTTTTGTATCTGGATTTGTGCAACACCCTCCTCACTGGTCTTCCTGCTGCTCCCCCTTGCTTCCCCCTACTCCCCCCACAATCTATTTTACACCCAAGGGCCAGAGCAATATTCTAAAAGCAGTGTAACCTGTAGGTTACAACCAGTTAGTGGGTGTGAAATCAATTTAGTGGGTCATGACCTGATTTCATTTTAATGAAACAGAAGAATTGGGACTATCAGAATACACGGCACCAAATATCTATTGTTTTGTGACATTTTTGTTTTATTTTGATACGTTTAAAAACCATGTTTGTAGGGACACCTGGGTGGCTCAGTCTGTTAAGCGGCTGCCTTCAGCCCAGGTCATGATCCCAGGGTCCTGGGATCGAGTCCCATGTCGGGCTCCTTGCTCAGTAGGGAACCTGCTTCTCCCTCTCTCTCCCTCTGCTTGTGCTCTGTCAAATAAATAAAATCTTTAAAAAAAAAAAAAAACCATGTTTGTATACATACCTGGTGTACCTGGTCATGATATAACGTATATTTCTTTCTTGTGGGGGTGTGTGTGTGTGTGTGTGATAGGCACACTTAGCATAAGATCTACGCTCTTAACAAATTTTTAAGTATACAATACAATATAGTTAACTGTAGGCACTCTGCTGTATGCTAGATCTCTAGAACTTAGTCATCTTGTATACCTGAAACTTTGTACCCATTTCCTCCTCCTCTCAGCCCCTGGCAACCATGGTTGCACTCTACTTCTATGAGTTTGACTATGTTAGGTTCCTCATGTAAGTGGTATCAAGTCATATGTCCTTCTGAGCCTGGCCTATTTCATTTAGCACAAAGTCCTCAACATGTATTTCTTTTTCTTTTTTTTTTTAAGATTTTATTTATTTATTTGACACAGAGAGCGCGAGCACAAGCAGGGGGAGTGGCAGGCAGAGGGAAAAGCAGGCAGAAGCAGGCTCCACGCTGAGCAGACAGCCTGATGCGGGACTCCATCCCAGGACCCCGGGATCATGACCTGAGCCAAAGGCAGACGCTCAACGACTGAGCCACCCAGGCGCCCCTCAACATGTATTTCTGAAGCTACCGTTCTAAAACATCTATCAGATGCCACTACACTGCTGTTCAAACTTCTCCGACAGCTTCCAGCCCACTTGAACCAACCCCAGAGACCTTCCCCTTTCCCCAGGCCCTACAGGACTGCCCTGCCTCTCATCTCAGCCTCTCTTTTAGACGCTGGCCTTCTTTTCGTTCTTCTAACATCCTCGGCTTGTTTACCCCTTAGGGTTTCTTAGGTTACGAGCCAACTCCACTGCCTGGGCCACTCAGCCCCAAATATGTGCCGGGCTGCACGCTTCATACGGGCTTCACCTCAAACATTGCCTCCCTGCTCACATATCTGTTCACTTACGTATTGGCTGTGTCCCCCCAACTTCACCCATCTCCAAACCAGGATGTCAGCCCCCTGAAGACAGGGGCCTTGCCTAGCACGTGGCACACAGTAGGACATCGCTATGTGTTGGTGGGTCAGTGCACTGACCGAGCACCTAGGAGCTCTCAGTGTCTTCTCACACCTGGAAATGAGCTCGCAGCTCTCCCTGAGCACCTCCACACAACCGCCCTTGTGACCTACTACCTAACTCACCGCCCCCCCCACCCCCCCACCACCCCCACCCCCCGCCCCGCTGCCGCCAAAAGAGATAAGAGATGCCATAAGGTCACTGAGCGAGTACGCAGAATGAGGAGTGCAGCCACTGTCCCCTGCTGCCCCTGGGCTCCCCGGCCGGTAGCCAGAGGCTCTGTCCTTGAGCCTACCTCAGGCCCCAGTCCTGTGGCAGTTCTGGCTCTTCAGACCCTTTATCAGATGGTTTGACACCTTTAGTCCTTTTAGCTTTGTTATTTTATTTTGCTTTATTGCATTTTTTTTTTTTTTTAAAGATTTTATTTATTTATTTGAGAGAGAGATAGCGAGAGCAGGAACACAAGCAGGGGGAGTGGGAGAGGGAGAAGCAGGCCTCCCGCCGAGCAGAGAGCCCGATGCGGGACTCGATCCCAGGACCCTGGGATCATGACCCGAGCCGAAGGCAGACGCTTAACGACTGAGCCACCCAGGCACCCGCTTTATTGCATTTTATTTGGGCTGTATTTCATTGCACTTCAGTATTTTATAATCACAGTCCACAGCTTCTGTATTCTGGCGAAGGCTAATGATTTACTAGGAAATCCTGAGCTTTGGTCATTTTTATTCTCCCTGCATCTCCCTCCCTCCCCAGTGAAAGCTCTCTCAGGCTGAGCCCCCCCCCCCCGCCCTCCCGGCCCCCCCCCCCCCCCACCGTGCCCCACAGGCTTGGGAAGAAGGCACTACGCTCCCCCGGGCCTTCCCCTTCTGGGTGAGTTTCAGGGTTTGCCACAGCTCCCCCATCCACCATGCGAGAGCTGATGCCCTTCCCAATGTTGTGGGCCCCAACGCCAGAGCCTCAACAACACCTCCCTGAACCTTGGTGTTCTCATCAGTGCTTTTGGCACTGGGATCTGTGCTGTGCCTACTTCTTAAGGCTGAGACAATCCAATAAAATAACAGATGTGAGCACCCTTCGTGGACTCTGAGGCTCAATCTGATAGTGAGCAAGTGTGCACAGTCATGAACAGAGAGCACTCTCACTTACCCCACAGACATTCCTGTCCGGAAGCTGACTTGGCTGGTTTTGAGTCCTTTCCCCATGCTGGTCACCCTCCTCAGGCTGATACTCTTCTCTCAGTCATGCTCAGACCTGGCCCTGCCCTACCAGCCTCCCGGGCCACTAACAAGGCTCTCTGATTCCTATGGCCGCTCCGGCCTCCTCATCTTCCTCTGGATTGCCAGGTTTAGCAAAACAAAACAAATAAACCAAGAAATAAGGCTGCCCAGCTAAATTTGAATTTCAGATAAACAACGAAGAAAAAAATGTTTTTCGTATAAGTATGTCCATGAAATATTTAGGACATACTTATACTAAAAAACTATTCGTTGTTTATTTGAAGTTCAAGTTTAATTGGGTGTCATGTACCTTATCTGGCAACCCTACTTCAGGGGTTTCCTCAATTTGCCTTGGGTCGATCAACCTACATCACATTCTGCCTTGGTTTCGTTTTCCGAAAGGGAAACATAATTTTCAAGAAAGTTATGAGACTGAAAAAAAAAATGCTTGAGAAAGTCCAAAAAAGTATGACTCATATATGAGGTTGAGCAAATCTTATTCTCCCCCAGGTCTGGGGGTGGTGTCTGTGTCCTCCACTGTCCCCACCCAAGCTTCCCACCCAGGCTCTTCTACCTCTTTAAAGCCCCTGCTCGGCGAGCTTCCTGGCATTGGTCACGCCACCTTGCCTGGCTCTGTGCTCAACTGCCTGCCTGCCCCATCAGTCCCTGATGACATCATACCTGGCACTTTATCTTCATCTTCCCCATCCTGCGGCCTGCCATTGGCCTGACTGGCTAAGAAATGAATGATCACCTGCCTCAGTTTGCTCAGGACAATCCAGGCTCATGCCTATTACTCCTATGTGGACTGTAGATAAAGAAAGCCTCCTTTCACTTGCAAAAGTGGACAATCCATTATATGCTGACCCATCGTCTCCCTACACTTTCAGGTCCGTGACTGGTCCTTCTCCAAGGACTGTCACTGCCACTGCCCTCTGGTCCCCCTACTCCCCCCAGCCATACTCTGGCCATGTCACCCAGAGCCACCCTGCCTCTGACATTGAGAATGCAAACATCACTCTTTGACCATAACTGCTCTCCTTCCAACTGACTGGGTAATAGCCCAGCTTCTCTTACTCCCTTTTTTCCTTTTTTCCCCATCTACCTTCCATGTCTTGGCACACCTTGTCAATCACTCTTGTAAAAATCCCTCTGGTCCCATTGGCCCTGCCGTCTCACCTGGGTGAGAAATTTTCAGGATGGATTCATTCATCACCAGCCTTCTCTGGTGACGGCCTGAGCCGTCAAGAGCTGCTGGAGAACCTCACACAATCAGACAGTCTGAAGTCACTAAATGCTTGGTCTTGGCAAAGACAGGAAGGAATATGTGCTTCTGGAGGGATGCCCTGACTACAATGTGGAGCAGAAACTGGAGGGGAGGGCCTGGCAGGCAGGAAACCAGAGAGGAGTTATTCATTTACCAAGACTTCATTGAGTACCTGCTTTTGGTCATGATCCTGGTCATCATTAAAGCTTTAATTAATTGCATGGGCCATGGGAGAGAGAAGGAAGAATGTAATCAGGAGTTGTCAAGGAAGTTTGGTGGGGTATGGGGAATCTGCAAGAGCAAAGCTCTAGAAAAACACCCAGCTCTCTGGCTTGGGTCACTGGATGGTCAGGCCTCACTGAGACTGCAAACATGGGGAGAGAAGAGAAGCGAGGTTTCAGGGAGGGATGAGGAGCCCAGCATGGACAGCCTGGGCACCCAGGCCCCAGGTGAACAGGTGGATAGGCCTGGGACTAATTGGATATGCAAGTCTTTGGGAAAGATATCTGTGCTGAGGTGCCAATGTGGGAGATTAAAGAAGAGATTAAAGCGAGATCGGACGAAAAGTTGGCTCTGCAGTAAATGATTACAACTTAGCAAGCCCATCCCATCAGACATTAGACACTTACAGACCTCACCTCATTTGCTCACACAGCCACCGTGGGACATCAGTCACATCATTTCCCAGATGTGAGGGAGACACACTGAGGTGTTAAATGACTTATCCCCAATCACACTTGGATTAAGTGGTAATCCAACACAGAAACTATTCTCATAACAAAACCCGGATTCTTTCCATGGCCTCTGAGTTTAGCAGAGACATGGGACTCTTGACCCAAACACCAACCCAAATACCCACAATGCGCCAGGGAGGGAGCTGAGATCCAAGACAGAGAGCCCTGTGGGACCTGGCACGGGCGCTTGGTAGGAGCTTTCTAAATGATGCCAGATTGGAATGTGCTAGTGAGTCCTGCCAAAGCCCATGGGTGTGGGCAGCTTGGAATCTGAGGCTGGTCAGTTGTGGTCCCCATCCACTGCTTAGGACTGGTTTGCCCCTGCATGGCCTAAGAAGATCCCCACAGTCCCACAGGGGTCAGCTCTAAGTCAGCTGACCAGAAAGAGCTGCTGCCACAGAGGGTCTCTAGAGACTAGGAGCTGAGCAGCCACCCTCTTCCATTCCCTCTGTCTGGCTGCCTCCCCTGTGTTATTGCCCTTAGCCTGAGCTGACGGTGCTAGAGACTTGATTTTGCTCAGGGAGCACATTTACCCTCTTGCAGTGGGAGAGGCAATGCCAACTCCCAGCCCCCATCATCACCCCAGCACTTGGCTTGGCACAAAGCCAGACTTAGCGGAAATTCTTTCTATTGGTGGGCACGATCCAAGCAGGTCAGCCGCTCCTGACCCCCTCCATGGTGTCCAGGGGCCACCCCCTTCTCTGGGGCCTTCACGTCAAAGTCATCTTCAGTACCTGTGAAGGGGAAATAGATTTGTTCTGCAAGATGAGGTTCGACCCAAGGGAGGACTTACTGGCCTCTGGATCATTATCGTCCTCCTCATTAAAGCTTTAATTAATTGTACAGTGTGAACTTGTTTTACGAATTGGTCACTGCCCTGGGAATTCGTAATCTGAGACAAATAGACTTGTTCAAGATGCAAGTAATAGAAAAGACATTTACAAACCTCAGGCAGAATTCAGACCTACACAGATGGAAAGAATCTGAACTTAAGGTTGAAGACTGAGTTTACCTTCGATATGCCACCAAAAGCATAAGTAACAAAAGAAAAAGCTGGATAAATCGGACTTCACCAAAATTAAAGATCTTTGTGCTTTAAAGGGCACCATAAAGAAAGTGAAAGGGCAACCCACAGAATGGGAGGAAACATTTACAAATCATACATTTGATTAAGAATCTGTATGCAGAACGTATGAAGAACTATCGTCACCTATTAACAAAAAGACAAATGACCATTTAAAAAAAAAATGGGCAAAGGACTGAATAGACATTTCTCCAGGGGCACTGGGTGGCTCAGTTGGTTAAGCATCAGACTCTGATTTCGGCTCAGGTCATGATCTCAGGGTGGTGAGATCAAGCCCTGCATCGGGCTCTGCACTTAGTGGGGAATCTGTTTAAGATTCTCTCTCTCTCCCCTTTTCTTTTGCCCCTCCCCACTCTCTCTCTCTTAAAAAAAAATCAGTAGACATCTCACCAAAGAAGAGCAACAAATGGCCAATGAGCACATGAGGAGATGCTTCATATCATTAGTCATTGGGAAAATGCAAATCAAAACCACAATGAGATACCACTTCACACCCACTTAGGATGGCTGTTTTTTGAAAAAGGAAAATAACCAACATTGGTAAGGATGTGGAGAAACTGGGGGTGGGTATGGAAAATGGTGCAGTTGCTGTAGAAAACAGTTTGGCGGCTCCTCAAAGACATAAACACAGAGTTACCATGTGACCTGGCAATCCTAGGCAGATGCCCCAAAGACCTGAAAACAGGGACTCTGACCAACAGTTGTCCACACCTGTTCTCAGCGGCACTCTTCCCAGTAGCCAAAAGGTGCAAAGAACCCAAATGTCCATCAGCTGATGAATGGATAAGCAAAATGTGAAGATCACCAAGCCATGAAAAGGAATGAAAGGGATGAAGCACGCTACAACGTAAACCTTGAAACGTTCTTGTAAGCGCAAAAAGCCATATGCCAAAGACTTCATTGTGCATGATTTCATTAATACGAAATGTCCAGAAGAGGCAAATGGATAGATATCAAGAAAGCGGTTTAGGGGTAGCCAGGGGCTAGGGAGAGCAGGGGCGAGGATGGGGAGTGATTGTTAATGCGTGTGGGGTTTCTTTTCCAGCGATGACAATTGCCTGGAACTACAGAGGGGTGATGGTTGCACACATCTGTGACTACACTAAGAAACCACTGAATTGTATACCTTAAAAAGATGAATGCATGTTTGTGGATTATATCTCAATTTTTTAAAAAAGCTTGAGTGTGCACTCCCAGGTCCTGGAGGGACCCATTCTCCAGTGCTCCCATAGGGCAAACTCAGACTCTTGCTTGTTGCCTCCATCTTGGGCTGTGTCGAAGAAACAGGACAGCAGGGGGGCTGGAAGGAGAGTGCGTGGAACAGGAGCCCTCTCGAAGTAGCTTGAGCCAAAGGGAAAATTTGCCAGGGAGATGCAGGAATAGCTCATGTTACCTGAGGGGTGGCAGGGCGGGACTCTGGAGGAGTGAAAACAGGAAGGGAAAGCTGTCAGGACCCAGGGCAGGCCCCCTCCCAGCCTCTCTCAGAGCACTGCCCCAAGCCTCACCTCGGCTTATGTAAGAATCCTTATGACTGCCCTTCAAAGGTCCTATTTACCTCAAGAGCTCAGCACTGGCTAACATCTGACCCTGACCATCTATACTCCAGTTCGAGGAGACATAATCTGATTGGATCAATCCAGCTTCTGGATTGATTCCCCCAGGGTCAAAAGTCCACCCACAGTCCCATCAATTGGACCTCAGAAGAGGCTGGGGGACGTGGGCCACTCCTTCGGTAATCTCAGGATGCTTTGCACTGCTAAGCGGTGGGACAGGCAGGGCTGAAGAACCCCTGAGCCAGGGACTCAGTCAGTCATGCTATGTCTTTTGTCTCTGCTTCTCTCTGTGTGTCAGCTGGTGCTTCCCATGTGGCTTCCAACAGCTTCGGATCTACATGCCTTCAAGAAAGAAAGATGCTTCCACTTTCAACATGATGAGTCCCAGAGAAGAACCCTGGTTAGCCCAGCTTAGGTCACGGAGAAGGTCAGATCAACGGGACCCCGGGGGATGAGTAGTAATCTGGCACGGCGCTCCCTCTATACACACGTGAACAGGGTTGGGACAGTTCCCAAGAAGAGAGAGGGATCAGAACAGCAGGTGTCTTCTAGAAGGTCTATAGAACTTGGAGGTTGGGGACAGGGTAGGACCACTGCCCTATCTGTTCATTATGTGAGGGTATCTTAGAGGAAGGCAGGAGTTCAGGAATGTTTCCGTGATAGAAGTGTTACCATCTGAGTTGCAGGGCTACCAGAACAAAAGATTAATAACCGTCTCAACAGATCCTGATAATCCGGGGAGCATCGAGGGAAGCTTTCACCACTAAAGCTCCATAATATACACATCTGTTAAGAACCTGGCCCACGCCGGGTGCTTTCACTTTCCCAGAATGCCTCCAAATGAGTTCTTTTCCCTGTTTTTCAGATAAGAGAAACTGAGGCTCAGAGGGGCAAAGTCCCTCATCCCAGTGGAGCAGGATTCACTGGAGGACTTCTGACTCCAGCTTGGATTCTTTCCATTGTTGTGTACTGCTTCCCTCTTTGCGGACCCCTGAGGTGAGGAGAGGTCAGGGCTGGGGCTGGGTGTGGGGCCTTGCTGAATGTGGCCAGACGGGAGCAGCCTAGACCTCAGGACTATAGCCACAGGGCACGTGGCCATCGCGGGGCACTCCAGAGCTCCCATGGGAACTGCTGGGGTGGGAGGCAGGCAGAGTGTTTGTGTGTCTGGGAGTTCACATCCTCCAAGTAAACACATCCATGAGGGAACCGGGGCGCCTCCCTGTGACTGAGACCGTTCGATTGGCTTCTGAGCAGTAAACTGTAGCTGACCTGGAGACACCGGCTGATACTTCCGAAGAAACCCATCTGAGGCTCCACCGCCTCCAAGATGCCTGCCCAAGGACCTCCCCCAACCCCCTACTCCAGATTCGGAGCCCTTCTGTGGCCATCATGTGGGAGATGAGAGGCCTGGCGGTGGTCAGCGTGCTCCAGGGAAGTCTTGGAGGAAATGCCATCACTGTTTACACATCCCCGTGGGGCTCAGATTGAGGGCAGACGGAACAGATGTGTCCTGGAAGCCCCAGAGAAGACATAGGAAGATTCCAACCCGATGTGATGAGAGACTTCCAGTGGTTAGAGATGTCTCCAGGACAAAGGTGGGTTGCTGGGTGAAGAGCATTGGAGGTATACACATTGAGATTGAATATCACATTGGAGGACAGATGAGGAGCAGTGTAGGTGGATTATGCTAGGTGACATTCTTAGTCCTCTCCCAGCCCTGAGCTTGCAGGTTTCTGTAGTCTTCCTCTTGGAAGCTTTATTTCCATTCCATTCCTTTTGTTCTAGAGAATACTCACGTGATGAGCTTTGCCATTTGCTTCCCAGGATCCTCCCCACCCTCCCAGCATTCCAGAACAGCTGCTCTTCCGTTCTGGTGGGACCGGCCCCACCTCAGCACTGGGGGGAGGCCTGGGTGAACCTCAGCCAAGGAGCATGAGCCCATCTCTTAGCCCACCTATCACTGTGGTGGCTGGGTGGGCAGTAACTGAAGACAAAGGCAATCAGGACCGAGTATTCTCCTGGACACGGGTTTCATTTCATATGTGGGCATGGAGGACCTCAGCAGGACAAGCCTCAGTGCACCCCAGGACTGTGGTGCACCAGCTGTGGGAAGGACTGCTCCCTCTCCCAGCAGGCAGGACTGAGGAGGCACACACTTGGGGTAACAGATACACTCAGCGCCCTCCCCAGAGCCCCTGTCCCATTGCCAATTGCCAACTCTGGCTTTTTTGTTTGGTTTGGTCTTGTTTTTTTGGTCTGAGGCTTTTTTTGGCTGCTGGAACCTACTGTGCCTGCTCTCGGCACAGGCCAGAAGTACCAGGGCCACTGGGTGGGATAAGTGATACATGGTTCTACACTCTTCCCCAAAATTCCTCAGTGGCCTTGCACTCCAGTTCTCTAATTGTCTAGATAACCCTTGATGGGCTATTTCCCTTCCCAAGTCAGTTTGCCATTTTCCTGCTCGTGTTTCCTGGGATCATGTCCCAAATAAACTACTTAATCTCACATCCTCGGCTCAGGATCTGGGGGAAATCGAGCCTAAGTACCCAGCTTGCTGCTGACAGCCATCCTGAAGCCTTGTGAGAGCTCGTGTAAGGATGAGACCAGGACCATGGGAGAAGGTGGGGCAGGAGAACAAGGCAAAGTGGGTCCCTGGGGACATCGATGAGCTATGGGATCCACACTTGCTGGAAGTCTGCCTTTTCTCTAAACATTCCATTTCTGTGAACCGCACGTTTTCTTTCTAGTTTAAGCCAACTTGAGTTGGGGCTTCTATCACTTGCACCCAAAAGCATCGTGGGTGATCTAATTCACAACAAGGAGAGCCCCCAAGCATGGCCTTGGAGATTGGGGTGGCAGACAGTGAATGTTGGGTGAGACAGGGAAAGAGCATGCTGTGGAGGTCAATGTCACGTGGACCCTTCAGCTCGGCCACCCAGCAGAGCCGCTTACTTGGCCTCTCCTAGGCTTGCTTCTTCCTCCCCGAAACAGGATGGTGTTACCAGGCTTTCAGGATTATGGATAGTTTTGAAAAAAATAACACTTGAAAAGTAGCCAGCACATAGCAAATGTTTAATACACAGTAGTTATCATTGATAATAGGAGAAGGAGGAAGAAAGGAAGGAGAAGGAAGAGGGGGATTTCATCTTGCCCTTGGACTGGTACAGATCAGAGTTGGGAGGGAAACAGGGAGTGGTCTGGCCCGACCAGAGAGGAGGCTCTATCTTAGGACACACAGGAGGTGAGGAGAGCCGGGCACAGCTGCAGAGCACCTTCTGAGCACCAGGCACGATTCTGAGCCCCTTTTCCCTTGTTCATTCCTTTCATCATCAGGAAAACCCAAGAGACACACACTATTATGACCATCACTCACTGGTCTGCAGAGAAGGAAACTGGGGCACAGAGAGGTTGAGTAACTTGCCTGAAGTCTCACAGCAAGTGTGTGGGCAGAGACGGATTGGCACACAGGCACGCCCCGCTCCTAACCTCTGTGCTCTCCTGACTGCAGCCCCAAGATAAGGGCATCCCTGCAGATGTTGAGTGGCTTTAATTACAGGATGGGTTCTCTCCCACAGGCAACGCAGATTTACTGGTACAGGCCTGGCAACAGTGAGAACATTGCATAAGCCCCTGGTCACTGGTGAAATGGCTGTGGAATCATTCTAGGAACAAAATTTTCATCCCATCCTTCCCATGGGAACAAGACCTCCTGTGTAATTTCCAGTGGGGAAACCAGAGAGCTGGGAAGCCGTTTTTAACCCCACTGAGAGATGTGCTAATGATGCAGGAGAAAAAAATGGAGGTTAAAATAAACTCTAAGAAAAACTCGCACATGTTTATGAGGCCCTAAACTGTGCTGTCGTAAGAGGCTCGGAAACCTCCCTCTCCAAAGAAAGCAGACTTTGACTCATCTTAAGATGGCTTAAGGGCTGAAGGAATACCACAAGGCCCTTCAAAAATGAACCCCAGGAGAGGAGATAGGTGTTCTCTCAAGTTTCAAGTCACACAGCTGAAAGAAAATAAAGACAAAAGGAGCTGGACGTAATCACCATGCTCTAGCTGTACTCAAAGCCACACCCCCACCCCCCACCCTTGTGGAAGTACAGGTGAACATTCTGACAATGCTATGCGTGGACTTGAGCACTTAGGCAACGGGATGGAGGCTGACTTCTCACTGTCAGAGTAGGAGGTTACAAATAGGTAGGAAGAAGAGGCTAGAATAAATGCATATTTGGCTTAATATAGATACCATATAGATGGCTACATATAGGAATATTTATAGGTATGTATATACACATGGCTTAGTATACATACAGATATCTTTTTGCTCTATCCGCTGAGCAAGCCTGGAAGCAACAGCATCCCAACATCAGTGCGCACACCCGGTACCCAGATTTTGGTTTCTAACACTACTCTCCAATAAAAGGAACCAGGACTCCTTGGAGAAATGGTTGATTCTAGAACTGGGGCAAGAAATACACAAATGAGCCAGGAGCATCTTGCAGTGCTAAAAAGTAAGAAAGTGCTCTCTTGTGTGCTCTCCCTCTCTCTCGTGCACGCACGCGCACACACACTGCACACACAACGATGGGGACACGTCAAAGGACACAGGAGCCAAGTGAAGGAGTTCCTAACAGCCAAAGCTAGAACCATTTGAGCAACGAAATAAAGCAGCATTGGATTACAACTCAATGTATAAAATAAAGGTCCATGAGTCTATACTGATATAAAAGAATAAACAGAGAACAGGCAAATCTCCTGCACAGAAGAATTCCACATAATCTATATTGATCCTCTGCCCTTAAGGGGGTGTAACATAACTCCCCAATCCTTAAATATGAGTTGGGCACAGTGACTTCCTTCCAAAGATCACAGTATGGCGGTGGGGGAAGGTGGAAAGAGCCACTTTAGAGTGGAGAAACCTGACAAATAGTACCTCGGCCAGGTGACCAAAGTTACCCTCATCAGTGATAAGCCATGTTGATATTATGTACTCTTGATAGAATGTGATGAAAATGGCACCATGCCTCTCTGTGGTCTTTCTCTCAAGAACACATAATCCTGCCTGATCACTAGAGAAACTTCAGAAAAAATCCCAACTGAAGGACATTCTACAAAACACCCAACCAGTACTCCTCAAAATTGTCAAGATAATCAAAAACAAGGAAAGTCTGAGAACAGTTCTAGCCAGGAGGAGACTAAGGAGATATGACTGGACACAGCAAGTGTATTTTTTTAAATCCATGGAAGCAATAAATCCTAGATAAAACTAGCTAGAACCCAGAACACTTGAAGAATCTACTCAACAAGCAGATACAGAAATATTTTCTGATAAGAGTATTTTGTTCAAGTTCACTCATTATAAGAACAGATCAAGGATTAAAAAAAAAACTGGGTCTTTGGATGAACATGACAGAAAAGTACAAATTTTAGTAAAATCTAATCTTAGGATGACAGAGAAATAATTCTATCATATTTGTATTAAAAGGGAGTTATTAGAAACTAGTGTAAAGTACATATACTCTCATATCATCACTTCTGATTTTAAAATTTAAGTCCACAAGCACCATAAAAAGACGTTAGATGTTATTCTTGTAGAATATGAAGACATTGGGGGAAAATGAAATTTTCCCTTTGGAATGAACTCAATATATTATGCCCCCCCCCCAAACAGTCTAAGAACAAGTGTAACCCCTGGAGCCATTCCCTCCCTCGCTACACAGGTTGGGGACTGTCTGTTCAGCTCAGCAGAAGCCTGAGGCTTCATTTTCTGGACAGGATAAAATGAGGATATCCAGACAGGAAGACAGCAGGCACGGATGAGTGGAGAGTATTAAAAATGGGATTAAATGTAAGTTTACTTAAGAGATAATGTTGAAACCTTCAGTCTTCTTCCCCCGCTCTAATCTTGAAGCACCAGCAGTGAGGCATATAGGATCCAGGCATGGACTGCGTAGGCACTCCCTAACAAAACGTCTAGCCTGATTGCCTGGAGAGAAGCCCAGAGTCGCCAAGCACCCCTTCGACACACACATGCATACACCCACGCACGCACGCACGCGCATGCACGCACAACATCCAGTCAGATGTTGGGGTCTTCCTCAGGCAAGAAGACAGCCAAGAATCACCTATCTTTTGAGGAAAGCCTCTACTAAGAGACAAAAGCAACTTGGAAGAAGCAGAGGCTGTGTAGGGAGAAAACATACGAAAAATGGTCATGAATATCTTCAGAGAGATGAGAGAGATTATTGTATACCTGAGGCGAAAAGAGGAACCATAAGAAAGAGCATCCAGAGGAAAAAAACTAGCCCTTAGAAATTAAACACATAATTAGAACAAAAGTTCAGTACGTAAAGAGAATGAAAAAGACACGCCAAAGACTAGGAGAACGTATTTGCAAAACACAGATGTGGTGGAGCCTTGTAGTTAAGATATACAAAGAACTCTTCAAACTGGGAGCGCCTGGGTGGCTCAGTTGGTTAAGCGACTGCCTTCGGCTCAGGTCATGATCCTGGAGTCCCTGGATCGAGTCCCGCATCAGGCTCCCTGCTCGGCAGGGAGCAGGCTTCTCTCTCTGACCCTCCTCCCTCTCATGCTCTCTGTCTCTCATTCTCTCTCTCTCAAATAAATAAATAAAAATCTTTAAAAAAAAAAGAACCCTTCAAACTGAACAATAAGGAAACAAGCGACCCAATTAAAAAATAGGCAAACTATCTGAACAGATTCTTTCTCAAAGAAGATATACAGATGGCAAGTAAACATATGAAAGGTTGCTCCACATCATATATCATTAGGAATTACAAATTAAAATAATGAGACACCACTACGTACTTATTAGAATGGCTGCAGTCCAAAACACTGACAACACCAAGTGCTGGTGAGCATGTGGAGCAACAGGAACTCTCATTCATTGCTGGTGGGAATGCAAAGTGGTACAGCCACTTCAGAATGCAGTCTGGAAGTTTCTTGCAAAGCTAACCATAGCTTACCATACAATCCAGCTCCTTGGTGTTCACCCAAATGAGTTGAAAACCTTTGCCCACACAAAAACCTGCACGTGAATGTTTATAGCAACTGTATTCATAATTGCCCCAAACTAACGGCAACCAAGATGTTCTTCAGTAGGTGCATTCAAAAAGTATCAATACAAGCAAATTATTTTGAAATATGGAAGTAAATACCAGCAGAATTGTTAAAAAGAGTTGGAAGTAGTTGCTTCTGGAGAAAAATAAACAATGAGGACAGGGTAAGAAACTAGTTTTTGTTGTAACAAAAGAACAATTTGCCTCTTTGACTGTGTCCATGGATAAATGTGATAAAAATAAAAACAACAACAAAAAAAGAAAAATAGAAAAAGAACTGGAGAGAAAGGAAAGCTCACACATAGACTGAGCACCACTCTGAGCCAGCACTGTTCCAGACAGCTCCTTGTGCTTTTCCTCACTGATTCCCCCCGCCCCCAACCATGAGCATGCATCACCTCCCCTATGATGTAGGTGAGAAAACAGAGGCCCAGAGACACCAAGACCCTGCCTGGGGACAGATGCCCAGCAAGAGCTACTCAATCTGTCCATATCCTCTTCCCACTCCTTCGGGCAGCTCTTACCAACACATTATTTTTCTTCTGAGTTAGTTCCTCTAAGGAGTAAAGGTCTGGTCCCTTCCCCAGTGCCTTCCTCCAGCTCCTGCTGACTTGGGGACATAACTCTGTCAGTGGTTTAATTCAATCCAGATGGAAGGCTCCACTTGGCTCTTAAAGCATGCCCTTTGAGAGTGCTGAGATTTGCAGATAAACCTTGAGATGTGAGAGGAGAGCAAGAAAACAGGAGGGTGACAGCATATGAAGTTTGGGGGTGGGGGAGTCACTTAGGGATGAGTTTGAACCTGATGGAGAGCCTTCTGCACAGCTGTGAGGCCTGTGGCCAGGGTTTGGGCCTTGGGCCACCAGCCCAGAATCTTAGAGGCAGAAACTCATGTGCTCCGCCCATCACAAATTCCCCAAACACTTTTGAATGCCCAGCGGCAGGCGTTGGGGTGGGAGCTGTGGTACAGTGTTGAATCAGACATAAACCTCTGCCTTGAGGGATTCATGGTCTAGCAAATGAGACAGTAAGATGGGCAGACAGATGGGTATCCAAATATTTATGGTCCAGTGGTACCAGAAAGAAACATTACAGTAGAGGCAGGGGCAGTATAGGAGGAGGACAAGAGTCAGAGTCTCGAAGGAACTGACATGGAGCTGGGTTATGAAAAATGAACAGGCACATGCCGGGGAAAGAAGTTGGGAGGCCCACCCCAAGCCAAGAAAAGAGCAGGTGCAAAGGCATAGTGGCTTGGAAGGATGGTTAATCATAGAAGCAGGGTGAGAAAGAACTCTAGGGTTGCTTGGAGCAGTCCCATATAGCTCGGAGGAGGGGATGTCATGAGACGTGGCCTCCATTCCTGGTCCTTCCTCTTGCGGGTGGTATGACCTAGGGAAAGTCACCTGTACTCTCAGGGCCTTGGTTTCCTCATATGTTTAATGAGGAAGGTAGATTTGAATTTTTTAAAACAACATGAAAATAATATATTACATTGTATTCTTAAAAAAAAGAAAACCCAAGTTATATACCTGTGTGTGATGAAAAACAAGTTTCTTGGCCCAATCCTCCCTACCTCTGACTTATGTCCCTAAGGCAACCTCTTTTAATCATTTATGTTTTTGTTTATTGAAGTCCTTAGTCTCTGAAACTCTGAATAAAATGTTTATGGATCTGTTTTTTGATTTACTGACTTTAGGTAGTTTATTGACTTCGTAGTATGAAAAACAAGAATTTAGTTGGGATGCCTGGGTGGCTCAGTCGGTTAAGCGGCTGCCTTCGGCCCGGGTCATGATCCCAGGGTCCTGGGATCAAGTCCCATATCGGGCTCTTTGCTCAGCAGGGAGCCTGCTTCTCCCTCTCTCTCCCTCTGCTTGTGCTCTCTCTGTCAAATAAATAAAAATCTTTAAAAAAAAAAAAAGAAAAACAAGAATTTAGTTCACATAAACTCCCTCCTTTGTCTCTTCCTCTCTGTTCTATCTTTCTATCTTTCTATCATCATCATCTAACTCTGTGTTCTATTATTTATATTTGAACATTTTTAAACAATGTACTTATACTTCTATTTAAATGTAGTAATCCTTTCCATCACCTCCCAGACTAATGATTATTTAACGTCTGTATGCAGTAATGAGAAGCTCACTTTCTATATTTGGGCATCTCTGATTCTGAGAACATCTTTCCTCTTTTAAGTTTAAAATTGCCTCTCTGTAATTTCTTGCCAGTGGGCCTAGCTCTTCTTTCCAGGGTCTCAGTGTCAGGCAGCTTGCTGCTTCCCGGGTCAGTCGTTTAGAAATAGGATAGCTGCATCATGACCTTCTTCGGGCTTAGCTTTTGTAAAGCGAACTGTAGCACCTCTCTTCCTCCAGCCGCCCTGCAGGGTCCCATCCCTCACCATCTGACCATGCTGCCCACAGTGCAGTGCCTACAACTGCCCACAGACTCGGGGCCCATTTCAACACTCACAGTAAATAGTAGGTGTGCAAATGGGTATTATTTTCTTAAATTTTCTTAAACTCTCAAGCCTGGGAACAGCATGAGGACCAAATATAGAAAACAGTGGCAACACAATCTCTCTTCACTTTAAAATGTCAGGTCTTAATACGACACAAAATACGTACTGAAAGCTCAGTACTGACCATGCCTTAGTATTGCAACCACAACACAGCCCCGAGCATGGAGTTGTGTTCAAAGCAGGTGCTCATATGGGTTTGCGCCTGAACCCCAGACCAAAAATACAAGCGGGTTTGTGGTTTTTCACTTGTTCATGCAAAATAGAAAAATTGAGGACAACATAGGAAATATTTTGTAAAGTTAAATTTATTCATTTAGAGGACTTTTCTTTATTGGGGCCCTATATTCCTCTTCCTTGTTTTGATATTAAAATAAGAATATAGATCTTAAAATTTGTATTTGATTATTTTATAAAAGGATGGGTGATTCCCATTTAAAAGCTCCAGGAACACTTTGGGAAAACTGAAGTGCAGATCAGATCATATTTTTTAAACTAATTAATTAATTAATTATCTTTGTGAGGAGAGAAAAGGCACTTGTGCACAGGTGGGAGGGCAGGGAAGAGCAGAGGGAGAGAGAATCTTAAGCAGACTCCATGCTCAGCTCAGAGGCGACACAGGACTCGATCTCACGACCCTGAGATCATGACCTGAACCAAAATCAAGAGTCTAATGCTTAACCCACTGAACCACCCAGGCGCCCCAAGATCAGATCATATTTTAATGGGTTTCTTGGAAGTATTAAAAGTTGGGAACTTCATGTTGTCTTCTAAATTGAGAGTGTGGGGTGGGTTTGCTTATAGGCCCGTGAAATCCGAAATCCAGGAACCACTGGGCTAAATAAATGAGTGGAGAATGGAAATCCAGGTGGTCTCCGACTTCTGCGGCAATGTGAGCTGGGGGCCTGCATTAGGCAGCCTTGATTGAGGAGATGGTCAACTGGGAAGGGCCCCGGGTCAGCTTGCTGGCTCTTGGGCTGTGGAATGGGCTGGATGTGTGCGGGCCTGGAATGAGCCTTGTTGTCTTTTCCTCTCTTCGAGCTGTCCTCCAGGAGGTCCTGTGCCTGTACTCCTCCTCAAGAAGGAAGGGCGGAAAGAGCTTTTGTTATACTAAGATGGGTAGAGCTGAGCATCCAGTAAGTGACAAAAGAGGAGATATAAAGGGGAGTGATTTGAGGCCAGAACCCCAAGAAGTCCCAGGCTGGGTGGGCTAAGGAGATCTGGGAAGCCTTCCTGGGGGAGGAGGAGTCTGTTTAAGCCAGTGTGTAGGCCAGAGTTGGGGGAGGCATAGAAGTGCCAAAGGTGCATGATGTCTGCAGGGACCATGGAGGGAAGAGTCCAGTCAGGCCTGATGGTAGTTAGGGTGATCTTTCTATATGTAAGCAGGTGTTAAACACGGGAAAAGGGGTTCCCTGTTGATTAATTTGGGGAATGCTACATTTAACAAGTCACGCAGCCTTCTTTACCACAGGGCTTTTAACGTGGTGGTATGACCTGAGAATCTTTAGGAAGCAAGTATTCCGTGTTCCCCCAGTTATGGACCCTTTACTCAGAAACTGCTCCAGAAAGTAGGCAGAAGAGCGTGAAGAAGCTCGCCTGGCTAAGACCATGGCAAGCGTGATGGACGTTCTCAGGCTCTCAGGCTTCCCTGTGTAGGAGAGGAATGTGGGCTGAGTACTAACCACGCAGATTCCCGGGCCCATCGCCCGATAAGAGCTCTGGAGCAGGGCCCAGGAATCCATGCGCCTAACAAGCTGGTGCCCAGGCAAGGGTTCCAGCGGCCACACTTTGAGAACCGGCAGTGCAGGTAAGACAGTATCAGTGATCCGAAGGCCTGGAAACTACAGTTCAGACAGCGGTCACCGATCCGAGCCTCTGCCGGGGTAAGGGGCTGAGAGCTGAGAGCTTCTCATCAGCTCCTCCTCCCTCTGCTGTAAGGGTGGGGGTGGGGAGAGCGGAGCTGCCCGTGCAGCCCCGGGAGGACCCAGCAAAGCCACTCGTCTTCCCCCTGGTGTCTGAAATCAGGTACTGCAGGTCAGGGCTCGCAGACCCAGAGAGCAGGCCGGCCAGCAGCTGCCCCTGGAAAAGTAAGGGGACAAGGCTCAGGTCAAACCTTGCTTCTTCCAGGAAGCCTCTCCTAACTTCCTCACCCTCTCGATGCTCCTGCAGTGCTCATTTCTGAAACATACCACCTCACTTTGCTACACCTCCTGATGTCTCTAAAACAGTCATTTTTGAGCTTATGCAAACACTGATAGCATTATCTCATTAAGTGGGGAGCCTTAGGGATACTGTCGACAGCTGAAGGTCTATGGATATTAATTAGAGTTACAAAGATAGCAACCAAGGAGCAAATGCCAGGGATATAACTGAAGGGAGAAGGGGGAGGGGAGACAGAGAAATTTCCCCTCCAACGTGACCCAACTTCAATAAAGTAGATAATCTAGAGACAGCAGAAAGGCTACCCACTGTCAGGCTCATCTATATGACATTGTGGAAAAGGGAAAGTCATGGAGACATAAATTAGCTCAGTGGTTATCAGAAAAGATTTGGGGATGAGCTGAAGACAGTAGTTGTTTTGCAATCAGGCTTGGAAGCGGGAGGAGGCGGAACCACACGGCAGAGCAGGGGTGGGTTAGAGAAGGTCCCAGAGCACACCCTACCTCCAGAGACCACGTGGCAGTAGTGGGGAAAGATCAGCCTGCTCAGCCAGCACACAGAACCCTCCCCACCCTGCCTTGGCCACTGACTAATGTCTTAAGGACGTGAGAGGCCCAGAAAATACGCTGCCAAGGATTCCATGAACGGCGGGTCACAGGATCTGGGGTAGAAAACGAGATCAACAGTAAGAGCGACTGACTTGATTAGAGCTCCCCATGTGCCAGGTACGGTGTGCTGTGGGCGTTATAGACATTATCCCATTTAATTCTCACAACAATCTCAGGGAGCTGTTACTACCCCATGTAACAGAGGAGGGGACCGGAGCCCAGAGATGTTAGGTAATCTGTACAAAGTAACACAGCTGGTAAGAGAGGATGGGATTTGAACACAGGCAGGCACCTCTGGCTTCAGAGCCCTTGGCCTTAACCAGCACTGCTCTCTATTGCCACACAGGCCATCTCCCACCGTCCCAGTGACAGTGGAGTCTCTTCCCCCACCTTCCTACAATGCACCCATCCTGCCTTGGTCTGCGCACCTCTGTTGGCGGGTACTCACTATTTTCCCAGGAAGGTCGTGCTTAAATGAACTTGAAGTTGACTTGTGAACACAGGCACCCACACTCACTTAGCCCTCTGGGCCCTGAGTTAGCCGTCAGGGCCGCCCACCAAACATTGCCACCTGCTCTCGGCACTGGGGAGGATTGTGCTTCCTGGCCTCCGGGAGTTAGGTGTCCCACGTGCCTTCCTCTGGCCAAGGAAATGGGGACAGACCCTTCATAGGCCAGTGTGCAGTTCACCTCCTTCTTATACTGCAGTGTTTGGGGTGCTCACGTCTGGGGGAAACCCCACTCGGCTTGGATCCCTGAGTGACTAGGACGAGCAGAGCCCCCACCTGATCTGTGCTGTGCTGTGAGCAAGAAGTAAGCCTTGGCTGGGTAAGCGGCTGAGATTTGGGGATTGTACATTACCGCAGCAACACCTAGCCTCGCCTGGCTGCACAGGCCACAGAGCAAGTCAGCCTGTTCAGGGCCAGCAACAATCCAGCCTCCCCCAAATCTCTAAGCTACATAACCCCAGTTTTTCCAGCTGAGCCTCCCATGACTTGGTTAGCTGGCTTCTTCCCTGCTCTTCTCTTCTGGATACACTGCAATGTGACAACTAGACACAACACTTGGCAAAGCCTGTTGCCTCTTCCCTCCTCCTCAGTGCCCTACCCTAGGGATGCAGCCCGTGTTTCACTAGGCCTTCACCAGGAAGGCAAGGCCAGCTCCGCCCCTGGATTCCATTCTGACTTGCCTGGCCCTAATGCTTAGGGGTCTGGATAAAGAGAGGGCTCAGGATTTAGAATTAAACTGACCTGGATTTTTAATCTTGGCTCTGCTACTAACTTAACTGGGTCACTGTGGGCAAGTTACTTAACCTCTCTGAGCCTTTTTCTCAAATGAAGAACAGATATAATAAGACCAACACTGAGATAGTTGTCAGTATCAGGTAAAGTACCCAGCCCCTCCCT